CCCTGGAACTTTCTCCGCTACCTCCGTGTCAGCTCCTTTATGGGCGTTGGTGAGTTTTTGGGACCGGATCCTAAAACCGACGCGACCCCTGCTCATCGAAAACTCTTTCTCTCCGTATAGGGACCGCCTAGGGGCACACGCGTGAATGATGATGATGATATGTGACTGAGTGATGACTAAGCAAACTCTTCCTGACTTTTTTTTCCTCGCGACAATTTGTTGGCGGCGTCGTTTGTGTTCCTTGTAGATCAGACATTACATTCACTGAACGATATTCGCCTATCAACGTCCGTGAATTTCTCTGTGGTTGACTGTGTTATTCCTTTTGTAAATTGTGGTGCAGCGAGCCAATTTGGGGCCTTCGCTTTGCAAAACCAACTCATCTTCTAACCGATAGCCCGAGGTCTGGCTGGGGCTTGGGCCGTAACTAGTGTGTGCGTGTGTGTGTGTCAGGGCAACCGCATCGCGAATACAATATGTATGTGAGCTGACGGACACGAAGCCGTCGACCATTGTCGCTCCCCAGTAGTTCGGAGTTCCTACCCACGGTCGGGGGACGTATCGTATAAAGTCACCCATGACAATTGCCATGCAGTGGCAACGATCAAGTAACGGCCTCGAAGTTGTACATTAAGCGCACAAAATTTCTGGGGAGATAGGCAGTTCCACACGTGTGACAAATGCCCCTCACAAGTTCTGCCAATAATAATCCTGGCCTGTAGCCGCAGGATCCGTGTGCACAATTTGTGTATGTCGGCTGAGGCACTTGGTCTTTTCCATCGCATAACCTCATAAGTCATAACGGAGGGTCCTCTGAATAGAACTTCACCGTCCCTTCCTGGAGAAATATCCCGGTTAATATCGCTTACGATTCCCATGTCACAACCTATTGAACATCTTGCAGCTGCAGCCTTATCAACGGGAGTGAACACAGTTCCCCCTGGCTGAAAATTCGTCAGTGATATTTAATATTTAAGCTAAAAACCAGATTTCTCTTACCACATTCGCTCATGCCTGACGCTTGATAGGTACCGATCTGGCGGATGAGTAATGGCTTTCAGCCCCTGTTAGCGTGCATTAAGGGGTGCGGTGTGGGAGCGGTGCCAAAATGACGCGCACTGAACACACGTCATATCTCACTTGTCCACAAGAGAAGATGCGAACAATCCTATGTCACTACAAATATGTCAGCATGAGCAGTCGAAGCGTCGATGTCATCGCACATAAAGCTGATGGTACAACTATAAACTGAACCAGACCGATCTGGTGCGCTGAGGTGCGCTGAGAGTAAGTTGCCCATGACTTTCCTTTCCACATTTGGTTTAGTAGTATTCCCCGATATGTGGGTGTCCGCTGCGGGATTGGATTCAAGCTATGAGGGAGGACAGAGAGAACGGTGTCGCGTTAAATGTTATCATTCTGCTTACAACAACCAGGAAACATGCATTACGACTGGGGTTTGGTTTGCAGCCTGGAAACGCTCATGTATTTTAGTCAACACAACAGTAGCAACCCATCGTCATCCCCCGACAACGTAACATGTAGCTCTGGACTCCCTGTGAATGCCTGAATGACGCATTTTAGCCATCCTGACCCCCCGAGTAACACAGAAACCAGTGAGCGGCAAGTAGTGCAATAAGAGCTCCCTTGTAGAGGCGAAAGTCAGTGAAAGCGTTTGAGCTGTTTTCGAATGTACAACAAAGGGGACATCGCTACTTTCGCTTTCCCATGTTCACTCTTCCTCCGATGGGTCCGCAGTTGAGGGAGTTCAGGTAGAACGTTGCGTGCCGCGTTTGAAAGAAACTCATTGTATTGCTTGCCGTCTCTCCGAATACTCCATCCAAACTAACTTGGCTGCTTCAATGCTATCATACCTCGCATTCAAGGGTCTATTCATGATGGATTCTTTCTCAATACGCTCGCTCCCTTAATCTTTTCAGCCTCAACTTCTGCGATGGGATGTTTCCAGAGCAACCATCATAGAGGCCCGTTCATCCGTGAACCCTTGAATGCGAGGTGTGAAACATTGTCGAGGGAGCGAAAGTGTTGAGAAAGAATCCATCATGAGTGAGCGTTACTTCTCAGTCTGTCGTTGACGGCGTCGACATTAGAAACGGCGACATAATCTGACGTTCCATCACGTAGAAGCTCAGCGTTAAAAACAAAGCCATAAATTAAGTGCGAACTAATGGTAGCCAGAGACAACGTGAGAAACCAACGCCAGTCAATGGGTGAGCAAGAATCTCAAGCAACCTCGCCCGGTCGGTGGAGCCCGCGTCATGTTAGTAGGGGTTGATTGAGAGTGAGCCGTCCCTTCAATGGCGACCCGATGGCGACCCACAAATGTTTGATGGTTTGATCTTGTGCTTGTGCTTGATAATCGATGCATTGGTTTTAGAAAGACTAAACAGATCCGTGATCACAAACCATCGGATCTTATGAATAAGGCGGGGCTGTGCAGCTGCCAAGCAACGCGAGCCCTCACTAGCAGATGTGTCATCAGTTCCCATGAACGTGCAGGTTTACTGAGTTCTGATTCAGACTCACTACGAAAGCCCATGCGTCGCAAACATACTTAAGCCAGGCCAGGCGGCCCCCCCCACCAATCATAACCTCTTACACTTCGAGATGCTCTTTGCTTTACTTTTGCAAATCCTTCTTCACATTGGCAGCATCTCCTGTACTCGTAATACATTGCCAGAGCTTAATCCTCTATCTCCAAAATCACTTGTCCCGGAGAATAACTTGCTAGGTCGTGCTTCGAGCCCAACCCCCTCGCTTCAACTCAAAGGCTACGTAAACATCATCGTGGACCTCAGCCAGTTTCGTTCTATCTCCATTCCCGAAGGGAAAAGACTCAACATCAATATACTCGGGTAAGTCTCAGGAAAGCGACCTTTATTGGAAATTCTGAGTGTTTTCGGCCAAACAGAGGGAATTGGACGAATCCAGACGGATCGCTGCTTGCCAAAATTATCCCTAACATTGGAGGAGAACAGGGATACATCGATGCCACAAATGTATTCCATCTAGGTTCGTTTATGCTCGGAGTCCCCCAGACCAACCCAATGAACTTCAACATGTCGACTGTATAGATGTTCGATACGTGGTGCAGTTCGTGAGCGACAACAAATACGGTTACGTGCAGGCAAAGGGCCCGGGAAAAATTGGGGCATCTAACAAAGTTATCCAGTAGGTCGCCTAAGTATATTCTACACTTTGCTGTTCTTCATCGCTCATTCTACCTCCCATTTCCAACCCGACGCACAGGACCGTGGAGACGGACTCAACTGTCAACCTTACATTCAATAATCAGCTGTTGTACTCTCCTGGTATCTTCTCCGGAAACTGTTTGACTGCTCCTATATGGGCGTTGTAGTGAGTTCGGATCAGATCTGCACTTTGTTGCTGGAAACCATGTCAGTGAATCCTTTTCATCGTTTACCTTGCCTGTACCATTTTCGGGGGGCAGTTCCTTCGCGTAACTCGATCCAAAAAAAATACTTTTTTTCGGTACATATTCATTTCAACCCTTTCGCCAAAAAAAGCAGACGACAAATTATTTAATCCCTACTAATCGAGAGCCCCATAAACCACCTGGTCATCGGAAGGGACCTGTGGCTCCATGAACAATCGAGGATTCAAGATTGCGCAGATTCTACAAATATTCACCGGAGGTTAAATTCATGCCAACATCGACCTAACCCTTCAGGGATTGAATTTTGCACTTTACCCAATTACTGCATATTAGATTTTAAGGCCAACCTAACCACTACGATTGCGATTTTCCGACGCATAATAGTCTTTAATTGTAGACTGAAGGATCTTGTATCTAGTGCTTACATACCGCTAAATCCTAATACTGTACTATGAATGCGAAGGTATCCTTGCCCGCTTCAAGGAACGCCGCCCTCGGCGCGCGCGCAGGCTTCCAGCCCAACCACCCCTACGTCCGAGATGATGAGCATTCATTTCCAACGCCCTATATAATGGGCCTATATAACATTGTAGACCTCACGCTTCATACTGTGAAAACCATCCTAATTTCGCCCACGGAGGATGAGCGCCCCATCGGTCGCGCGCGTCTCACAGGCACACATTTTACCGTGAATGGATAAATCTTCGGATTGCTTCTTCTGGAGAACAATCGATCGCTAGCTTGTACATGAAAGGTGGCAACTATCATTATCGAAGCTCAGTTATTCAACGCATTACGTTAGCCCTCAATTCCTTGCGTATGCACAGGCGTTCATCACTGAATCATTGAACAAGAAACGGGGCCATCGATCGCTTCCTTCAGCGATATAGGGATTATGTCCTACATATGAAAGTTTCTATACAAGCCGTTTGCGAAAGGGTAGGTGGGGCAGGTCGATCATCTGCCTAAAGATCGCGGCTTACGGGAGGGGGTTTCCTTGTTTATGCGAATAGTTCAGCGCTAGCGTGAGTTGGCCAGGACTTCTGAGTCGAGCGTCGAGCACAACGTAGCTTCTAAGCCTCCACAGCGTCTGTGTCAATCAACAAGAAGACCAAAAAAAGAAAACAGTGAGGATCTTGGGGCAAACGTCCGTTCGCGGTCATGCAAATACCTCGGCCATACTTTCAACAGCACTAGCTCGTGGAAGTCGTAGTATGCTGGACGGTGAGATTGCACGGAGGCCAAGTTGTCTGGAAAGACGATAAGTTGGATATTTACACGAGCGACTCGAGGAAGCTCACGCCACGAGCTTTGGCCCTATTGCATGAGCCACTGTCGATTGCGGACGAGGGGATAGGGAGAGAATAAAATGGAGATAGCATTTTCCGGGCACAGCACAAGCAGATGCCCTCCGGTAACATCTCCTGGCATACGGCAGAACAGCTGGCGGAAGATGCAACTGGTCTTCGACATGGTACTTTTTTCCTAGGTAGCCGGCGAGAAGGGTCTGTGAGAACCATGCATCGCGAACACACTTAAGCCAGGGCAGGCGCCTTCGCCAATCGATGCCTCTCTCCCCCCGCGCTAAGCCTCCAGATGTTGTTTGCTGTAATAGTTTTGCAAGCTCTTCTTAGCATTGGCGGCATCTCCTGCGGTCATGCATCACCAGAGCTTGAACCGGCTCTAGTAATACAACCCTCCGTCCTGGGGGATAACTTGAGAGGTGGTGCTTCGAGCCCAATCCCCTGGCTTCAACTTGAAGGCTACGTGAACCTCATCGCAGACGTCAGCCAATTTCGTTCTATCTCCATTCTCAAAGGGCACAGAGTCAACGTCAATATAGTCGGGTAAGTCTCGGAAAAACGACATTGAATGGGGATCCTGAGTGTTTTCGGTCAAACAGAGGGAACTGGACGAATCCAGATGGATCGCTGCTTGCCAAGATTATTCCTAACATAGGAGGAGAACAAGGGTATATTGATGCCACAGATGTATTGCATATAGGTCCGTTTATGCCCGGAGTCCCCCTATCCCAATGGACTTAAACGTGACCCTCAATGTCGAACGCATAGATGTTCGATACGTCTTGCAGTTCGTGAGCGACAACAAATACGGCCACGTGCGGCTGAGTGGCCTGGGAAAAGCCGGGGTGTCCAATAAAGTTATCGTGTATGGTCGCTCTGGAGTTTCTTGATCGCTCAGTCTAACCTTCCATGTTCACCCCGACACAGGACCGTCGAGACAGACTCAACCGCAAACCTCAAATTCAATAACCAGTTATTGTACACTCCTGGTATCTTCTCCGGAAGCCGTTTGACAGCTCCTATATGGGCGTTTGTAGTGAGTTTGAATCAGATCTCAATATCTGCGGTAATTTAAACCGCGTACAATATCCGTCTCTCTCTATAGGATGGGCCTGAGGTTTGATCTGTGGACGGTGATGAGAGCCCTCACATAATCAGTGAATACCTTTTTGTCTTCCTTGCCTTCTATGCCATTTCAGGGTTTTTCCCCTCATGTACCTCGTTCTGGCAATGAAATCCCTATTCACGGAGGGAACCTGTGGCTAAACGATAGAGATATTCTGATGGATTCACATGCCATCAACTGAAAAATGTCAACCTATCCGACCGCGATGTCGATAGACCTGGGCCGCAATTCTGGGGCAAAACAACAAAACAGAACAAATAAAAAAGAGACTGGCTTACGTGATGCAAATCAACCTTCGATCCAGCTCACTCGGCACTCTTGGCTGAAGCTTGCCGTCAAACATACTCAGTGGACAGACCCTTGTACAAAACTACACGCGGAATATACGATTGGGGATTCAAGAGAGATACCTGTGATCTCAGCGCATAAAATACGTGTGCTAAGTCAACATCAATTAGAAATGTCGTCCCTAAAAACCCTTCATGTTTGGGAGAACAACTCGAGTGACGGTTACACTCGTAGCCTCGGATCCGAACCTTTCGCGAATCTCGTTCGATTTCGTCGCCTGCCGGCACTCGGGCGACACATAGTCGCAATTCCTTTGGTCTTGGAGCCCCTTATGTTGCCCAAGGGGGACGATGAATTGTTCTTGCATTAGCACTTGGGTTTTTTTTTTTTTTTTTTTTTTTTTTGGTGGAACCCCAGTAGCTTTCGCAATACATGGTCGTGTATTTGGGGTTTGTGTAGGGAGATAAGATCCCATAGAGTGGTCTGCCGGTCTGCCACCGCGGGGAAATGCGTTGCGCACTGGCCGGTTATCGGCGTGGGTTTCGATTTAGTGAGCGTGGCATCCATTGATGAGCTTGAATTTAACGTTGGTGCCACTCGTGTGCCAGCAGTTGAGTCCCCTGGAAGAAGGAATCTGAAGGTTTATATTCATTCAATTCAGTGCCTCCAGTGAAGCGATCCGGTGCTCGTCTTCAGTGTGGAGATTGGGATTTTTAACAGTATCGATATCGTGAGGTTTCACAATGCCATGTACATCGAAGGTGCTCATCGTCTCGGGTTTAAAAATTTGTTGGGCTGGGGGGAGGAGCTATGCCGGGCGACCGAGGGGGCTTATGGTGGGCTGGGACACTGCGGTGTGATGATCAAGGATAGGTAACCAGCCTCTCTTTATGGGGAAGAGGCTGAGTTGTACGTATACATATTTACAAGTCCTCAGAACAAACAAACAAATAGAAATGCACTAAGTCGGCAGCACAAGGCTACATGCATGAAAATGGGAAAGGATATCTACGTACATAGTGGAGTGATTCCACTGATGCAGACATACATGATGACTTGTTTATGTGCATGGAACCTGGGATTGAGGATTCAAAATAGGCCCAAAATCTCACAAATCCAAGCATCTATGTACCGGAATAGATAAACCATGACCAACCTCAATTAAAAATGTCATCCTATGAACCGATCATGTCAGAGACTGGGGATCAAGCATGAAAGATTTTTACTCACATAATCTACCTCCGTCTGAATGACAGAATCCCAGTGATCAACTTGAGTGATGGTTACACTCGGAGCCTGGGACCGGAACCGTTCACGAATCAGGTGAAATCTCGCCACCTGCTCTTCCTTACTATCTAGCCGACATATATATAATCGCAATTCTTCTATATCTGCGACATGACCTTGAATTTCCCTACGTCGCTGAAGGAAACAATGGACCGTTTCTTGCATGGGGTCCGGTTCCAATTTAGCGATAAGTACGCGGAGTGAGCGTGGCATGAATTGAGGCAGACGCATCAGGTTCACGAGCTTGAAGAGTTCGACGTTGGTGCCCCCGATGTGCAAGCGGCTGAGGTTTCTGGAGGAACCGATCTGAAAATTCATTCATAGAAAAATGAGTGCCTATGGGGGCGTGGTGGGGCTCACCAGGGAAGCGATCTTGAACTCATTCTCCATCTGGAAATTGGGATGGTTCAACAGTATCGTGAGGTTCACGATACCAGGAGCATCGAAGATGCTCATCATATCGGATATTGAAAATGACGGAATTGCGGGGCTGGAATGTGCTGCGCCGAGGGCTACATTCCTCAAGGCGGGCAAAGACACTGGGGAACAATGGTCAAGGATACCTTCACACTCATGGATTTCAAGAGTCTGCAGCGATTGAGACACGTTTCTGAGCATTGGTAACCAGTGCCCCGTTTGAATATATAGCCGATGCAGTCTGAGGGAAACAAGGGAAGTGATAGTGGGTCCTGGAATCCCTCCGATGAAGATCTGGGCGCCCCACCCGAGAGTAACACGCCGGAGATTCGGCAGCCAGTTGAAGACGTCGTAATAGTTACCCCGTGGATGCCCAATCAGGGTGAGTGTCTCCAATGACGTTGAAGAGCCAAAGGCATCACCCATTCGATCCAGAATCTCTAGAGTGATACATTCCCAGTCGGTGAAGTGGTCCATCAATATGTGTAAGCCCTTCCAAGTTATGTGAGAAATGTCGCTGTGAAATAGGCGCTCAAGAAAGTTCAAGATGTCTGGTATATCGTATCGATCATATGGATTCATGTCGATATAAAGCTCGATATTGCGGTGATTGGCGCGCGCCAGCCAAACACTTGCCAGGTCATACTTCCAACTGGCATCGATACGTGTCCATAATAACGGCGTATTGATGGAGAGATCCCGCCATGACTTGCTGACCTGAGAAATAGCGAGTAAGTATTTCCGGTCCCAGTGCCGGTATCGAGGCAACCCGATGAGGAAGATGTGCGAGAGAATGTCGGGGGGCAAGATGCTGATTGGAGTGTTCAAGGATGCGACGTCCAGTAAATAACTCGAAGTCCATTGTTCTAATCGGCCGAGTTTTCGCTGGAGCCCCAGGATCCTCTGGCGGGTGTCCCGTATAGACTGATTCCTGAGTTGGATCTGGGCATCGTTGCCCCATGCCCTGACATCTCTAAAATTCTTGAATACAGGCACCTCGATCCTTGGCATAAGAGTGGCCAGTTCATCCATCAGGTTCTCGAGGGAATGAACGCGAGAAAGAATTGTGGCTTCGGGGGAGCCGAAATCGGAGATCGGGCTCATTTTGAGGGAGTGTGTGCTCAAGGGAGACATCTGGATCAGGTTGCACCAAACGAAAACTTGCTAACGAGGCCTTGGATACTCACCGGGAACCAGTGGTGAGAGGCTACCAGTTGGAATCTAGCTTGGCGATATTAATGGCGGCGTACAATCAATCAGATCCCAAAGGTCCGGAATTGATGGTGCTTGACAGAGCATCGCCACATACCGGTCTTCAAAATCCAGACTTGATCCAGACCCTGGCCGGTGACCAAACTTACCGCTTACACCTCCGTAGATGGACTGGAAGGCCTATGGGCCGCTAGATCTCTGTGTTGTGTAGATTCATTACTACGAGCTTACATACGCAGATTAATTGGCACCCCCGGGCCTGGGCGTGTCGCTTGCAGGTCTGGTCGAATAGGCTTATTTGCTCGTGAGTCGTAATCCGTTGAATTGTTGTCAACGCGCATTTTATGCACTCTAAGCTAGAGGGTATGAGAACCAGGCCGGTCGCAGCTCCTATGATTACGACACTCCAATTCGGCGGGGGATAGCTGCACCCTCGCTGGGTTGTTGTTGTTGTTTATTCTGGATATTTAACCTGCAAACTGTAGGCTGCTCGTGAGAGCGCCAAGGGCAGGGGTCGAGATGAATACACAAAAATAAGGTGAGAAAATAAAGAAATAAGTCCGATTCGGGTGTCCTTAATCTCTCTGATAAGGCGTTGCCCAAATGCTGCTCCACTTTTGAGTTGTCGTGTTGGGTTGACCGTTTTTAGGTGTCGGTTTCGAAAATGGGATGGGTTCCGCCTTCCAGCGGTGTCATATTTCGGGGTGTGTCTATTCTGTCCTTCTCTCTTTCTCGTATGCTCCACTCGCTGACAGAAATCCTGCTACCCTCTCTATTCCTTTCTCGTCCACCAGGGGGTCGGCAAGGATCAGTTCACCTTCATCGTCTGGGAGCAAGTTTCGGTGGTGTTCGTGCTTGGGACATTCGAGAAGTATGTGTTCTCTCGTTTCTACGGGTTCTCCGCATGTGCAACTGGGGTTCTCTTCTGGTAGGAAGCGTTTGTAGAATTGTCCGATGAACGCATGGCCGGTGCGAAGCTGTACTAGGCGGCTGAAGGATTTGCGGGAGTGGGACTTAAACCGCTTTGTTGGTCGCAGTTGCGGTTCTATGCGGTTACAGCTTCGGTATTCTGATGGCTTTTGTTGTATAGGGTCAGTGTTCCAGCGAGAGATCCATTCGTCCTTATATTGGCGTTTGTTTAGGTTTCTCATGAATGCCGCTGAGGTTCTGTACGGGTATTCGGACGGCAGGTTGGAGCCTTCTTTGGCTAGGGTGTCT